AACAAATACTTTTGGTTGGGGAAAGTGAAATAATAATATTTAAGATTGAAGGGGCGCCCAGCGGATGCCTTTTGGCCATTTTCGCATTTACACGAGGCTTCCGTTTTGGCAGGACTCCCCAGAAAACTTTCTCCCTTTCGATTTTTGCCTTTCGGCTTTCACTTATTTTTTTGCTGCTGTTGCGTATGGGCTTTGGGCCAGGATTCTCTGGTAGGTAGGCAGGTCATTTGCCGACCTAATTTTCAATAAATAATAATATCAATTTATATTTATTATGCATAAGGATCCAGCGCATTTCCTTTTTTTTTTTTTGTAATATTTACTTTTACAAGGTGATTTATGCTTAAGTATCTGCAGATTGTTGAGAGAGAAATATTAAGAACTTGATTTAAAAAACGTGATTTGGTTGTTTATGAAAAAGATAATATAAAGTACATATTTATAGCTTAGTATATTTAAATATTAAATATATATAGCTAACTCTATCTTAATATTAGAAATATATAGCTGCTCTATCATAATATTAGATATATATAGCAAACTAAATCGTATAAAATCCATATAATATTCGTTCATAATAAAGGTAATATAGAGAAGTTAATAGCAGGTATAAATACCTATAAAGCTATAAAGCTTACTATATCTTATATTATCTTTATTATAAAAGAACTAAAAACATACTGGATTAATATTAAGGATTTTACCATTTTTCTATTCATTTTTAGATTGTTTCTCAAACACATAGATAATTCTATTAAAAATATAGTCATGGTATAAAAATATCTATAAATATCTTCAGTGTTGTCTTGGATTTCTTTGGACTTTCAAATGTATTTTACATTTTGCTCTGTAATTATAATTTTTCGAATAGATTCTTTGTATGATTCTTCTATTTTGTGCTTCCATAACTAAGGTTTAATATAGTAATTTATATTTATTTATATTATATTTAAAAATATAATGGCTTAACATAAAAGGTTTTTGCGATTTAATATTAATTTGAACATTGTTTCCCCATAAATATTTGTATTATAAATGAATTTGTAGTATAAAAATATATTGAGGTATCTCCAGTGTTTTTTTCTTTGTAATTAAATACATCTCTAATTTTGCTCTGTAAATATAAATTATTCAATAGATAGATTTTTCCAAATAAATACTTTATAAAAATCCTACTTTTGTACTCCCTTCTTGTTATATAGCTCAATCCCTGAACTCAATTCTGATCCTGATATATTGTTCCTTCCTCTTGTTCCATAAATTATGCGATCTAGTCCTCTTATTTTTTATGACTTCTCTCAAAGATTAGCTTTGGTTTTTTATTCGTCTCGGGACAACATTGGGCCATAACTCTAGTCCAGCTAGAGGGATGTCCTTCATCCAAAATGGAATGTCTATATCAATCCATGACCTTGTTCCGGCTAGCTGCTTTGGTTGCCATTCTGTCTGCGGTTTGTTTACTGACCATAGCCTACTTTTTGGGGAGCTTGCAGCGGAAATGAATTATCACCCTCTAAATGGGCGCGAACATCATTATTATTTTAGCAACAGCAGCTGGAGCTTGGGAACTGGGATTTTTTCCTCTCTGTTTTTTTTATTTCTAATTTTTTTCCCACCCCATTGTAATGAAGAGAAATTGTGCGGGTCAGCTGTGGTTATTATAAACAAAAAGAATAAAAAACACAACAACAAATAGGTGCAGCAGGATAAGGGAACTGGTTGGACTTCCGGCGTAGCTTAATGTCTATGTGGATTAGGTTCAGTCTGATTTCCGGGATTTAACCTGACACACGTCACACTGAAATAAGGTTTATGACAGTAAGAGCTAAGGTTTATGACACTAAGAGCTATTTTTATACCCTTACAGGGTATTATAATTTCAGTCAGAAGCTTAAAACACAGTAAAGGAGTCATTTCCCACCCTATAAATCATATATTTTCTTGATCAGCACGAAAAACCGAATCGATCTGGTCATGTCTGAAGGAAAAGTTTTTTCTTTTTAATTTTTTAAAATTTTTTAAAATTTTTTAAAAGTGTCAAAATTTAACATAAAATTTAATTTTTTTTAATTCTAAAACTTAATATGCAGATTTGTTAACCCTTTAAAAACTAACACAAAAAAGCTATCCAATTTAAAATTAATACACTTTTGGCTTAGTTATTATATTTGAGAAACTTTGATATACACAAATAATGAGCATATAAAAATATTGATTTAATTTAATATATAGAACACAGATATTATAGGTGTTCTTGGAGGTATACAATGATTGCCGCAAGTCATATATATTTCTATTTACAATTAAAATCCTAATCAATAACGAATAAAACATTTGAACAAAAAATTCAACAAAATATTTAAATGAATATTTCAGTTTTGTAATCATCAAAATTGTCACAAATCAATAGAAAATTTTATTTATTAAGTATTAAAGCCCAATAAGCTAGTATCCTAATAAGAAACTAATAGAGTAAAGCTTTCTTAATTTCTTAATTATGATCGATTTCACATGCTAACCAATGATTTTAGGGGTAACTGGGCACCCTTGCTTAAAATCATATATGTACCTACATATATACCTAGAAATATGAATATAAAAATAAGAATTATTTTTTTTTTACCACAACACCATAGAAATAAGTCAGGTGGGGGCCACTCCATTATTTCCACATGTCGTGCGTTAATTGCCGCACATGTTGCCAGTCCGCCGGTGTGGTCAAAGGGGGATCCTTACAAAGGATATGAGGGGAGTTAGGGTTATAAAAGTCCTAGGAGGGGCAGCACTCTAGCTCTAGCGTTGTGTGTGATTTATGGTGTGCAAAACGGGTCGACATAGTGACAAGTGCCATAAGCCGACTTTTGCCAAAGAGTTTCTTACGTGGGTACAAAAAAAAGGAAGTCACTTTGCAAAACGGTGATTTTAATGGCCAAAACTGGCGGACCAGGTCGTTTGTCATACATTTTGGCTTAGAGAATAACGCACCTTTTTTTTTTAACTCTTTGATAACACTGAAATAATAATGTTTCAAAAGGTGTATTTATTAAAGAGATAAGGGAAATTAATGACCTAATAAAAAAAGAAAATGAAATATGGAATAATGAGTTTCATGTTAAATTAGAAATAGAAATAGACTTACCTTTTAATTATTTGTTTAACAATTTTAATGGTAAACTAGATCCCTAAAGAGATATTAGTCCCCTAGTATGAGTAAATGAGATATTATATTCTGAGGCTCAGTTAAATAATAGATTTACCTTTCAATTATTTTTTTGTAGAGTATTTTAAATGGTTAACTAGATCCCTAAAGAGATATTAGTTGTCTAATATAGGAAGAAATAAAATATAAAATTATAAGGCTTAGTTAGATAAGAGATAAACCATTAAATACTTTTTTGTAGAGTATTTTTAATGGTAAACTAAATCCCTAAATCCTATTCTTAATCCCTTTCAGAAAGCTTTTAAATTATTTTAAATTCCCATGTCTAAAAAAAACACTCAGTTATCGAACAACAATTGTTTGTCTTGTCCGTTTTGTAATTATCCCAAAGGAACGAACCTTCCTCTGCACCATTCTCCTGCCTTATCATAACTCAGGGGAACCCCCCTGGTTTTGACCGAGTTAGCCAGCCATCATCCCATGTCCAATAATAATTATAATTTATGCGCCAGCACAGAAATAAAACCCAGACGGAAGCAAACTTTTTAGTGGCTGTAAGTGCGATTTGTGGATGAGTTTGTGATTCAAGGGACCAAATTACAGGATATGTCTCCTTGTATCCTTTTGCTGGATACGTCATGAGTTAGACCAGTTGTCGCCTTTAAAGTGCCAGGGGATTCGATTCGAATTGAGGAAAACAGAACTTTGGCGGCGGAATTAATTAGACAAAATGCCCAATTGGGGAATTTGAAGGAAACTAAATGTTAAGCAACTGAACAAATCAATTAATCAGGAGAAACCGAGGGGGAAAGTCAAGTCTGGAACGTGCGGGGAATTTTAAAGCTTATTGCAACTTTGTCAAAAGGGGAAAACACTCCAGGACTCACTTCAGACTGTCCATATATCTTTTCCCATTCCATGTGTGTGAGTGTGTGAAAAAGAAAAATTGTCTGACACATTTCAATTGAATTTCCAAAAAAATTTCATTCGCCTTTTTCTTAACACGCTCTCTGGCTCTGCTTTGTTTTTGGCTTTGCCATTTTTGCTGTTCGCAAAAAAAAAAAAACAAAAAAAACAATAATAAAATCCAAAAACCAATTTGTGCAAACTATTTTTATAACAAAAACAACAAGATGATGAGCGTACTACAAGTTAAACAAATTTCCCTGATGATGTGTGAGAAATTGAATGAATATTTGATTTTACGTTTGTTCTCTCTCACACAAGAAAAACGTGAAACATCAAACAAAAAAAAGGATAATTAAGAAAATGATTTTTTAAAAAGCCGTAGGAATTCCAGAAATGAATTTTGGGAAAATTTTTTCATGATACACAGCCAGCCCATTGTTGAGTTTTAGTTAATTACCAATAATGATTTATTTAGTTTTAATATTTCTGAATGGAATTTCAGACAAACCATTGAGAAGTATTTACTTTCACAAATCAACAGCTGATTAAAATTAGTATACCCTAGTAGAGGGTTATGCTATGAAATTTATAAAAATTTTGAATACACGAATTCAAGAATTCACTTCAAGATTTCTACATTTATAATATATCAATACTAAGTGGTTTTTGAATACTATGAATATCAAGTCTCCTAAAGAGTGTCTGATAATACGCAATAAATGGTTCAAAGTTCCAAGTTTAGTGTAAAATTCGCTTAATTTTATCCCTTAAAAATAATTTAATAGGAGTAGGCCCCTCGTTGGTATTTTTCCGATTTCAAAATAATATTTTTACCACCTAAACTGCAAATGTTTTTAAATTTCATCTTACCAAAAAATAGTTTTCCCTTTCTTAATATTTGTTTGAACTTTATCCCCATTTTTTCTTACAGATATTTCGCCACCTTGAACGTCCTGCCGAAGTGGAACGTTTATCCCATTTAAAGGATGTGGTCAAGACAAACAGGGAACGTTTTATGGATTCCGTGTTAAATAATACCGAAGTGCATAATCTGAGAGAGCTGTTATCCTTTGAGCTGGCTAAGTACGAGGTGGTGGGTATTGAGTTTAGATTCTAGATATTACCATTATGTTCTATATATTATTGGAGTCATCTGAAATCATTTTTGTTATTTCCATAGGCCGTTCAGCAGGCGGCAGAAGGCGGACTTTTAATAGTCGTCGACAAAGACTTCCCAGAGCCATATGAGCGCTGGAGCATCCTGCAAGCTGTGTTCTTCTCATCGACTGTGTTAACCACCATAGGTGGGTTATATATTATATATAATGTATTATTTAATTAATACATATATTTGTCATTTCATAGGCTATGGCAATATTGTGCCAGTGACCACCGGTGGTCGGGTATTTTGCATTTGCTTCGCCCTCATTGGAATCCCATTTACACTCACTGTGATTGCGGATTGGGGTCGCTTGTTTGCCACTGCCGTGTCTGTCTTTGGCAAACATATGCCCAGTAAGTAGTTAATTTTTAAATAATAAATAATAACAAGAAAAGGAAAGCACCTAAAAGAAGCTGAAAGGTGTATCCCCTCGCAGTTGCTGATAGGATCATGGGTTCAAAATCGATCATAACTAAACCAAAGACGCATTAATCTCAATTTGGGAGGGTTCTTTGTGTTGGCTTTTATTAGGATACTATGCTATTGAGCTTTAAAATTTCAGAAATTTAAAATTTGATGAATTTTTGACATTTTTACAAATATTTGAAAAATGCTGTTAATGTTTTGTTCACACATATGTTGTATTCCTTATTGATTGCGATATTGAAGAACCTTATCATAATGTAGATCAGACGGACGGACAGACGGACGGACATGCTGATCAATTTATTATCGGATTTATGCTGATCTAGAATATATATACTTTATATGACTGAAATTATAAAATGCATAGCTAACACATCAAATTCTAGACCTAGGCTTGATTCCACTTCTATATATATGATATAATAAATTAGATATAATATGAGATATAATATATATAAGATATAATTGTCATGGTTAAGACTTACCGCTCATTTCCTTCCGGTGTAGAGTTATATTCTTGGCGACTTCAATTAGTAGGTATCATCGTATGGTATTAATTCATTTAAAGTGTGCTTCTTCTTTGCGATCCGGATGCATTCCATTGGCCACGTCATATTTTTGAGGTTGAAGAGTAATCACTATCACTATCACCACCGATGTTAACACTAGGTACCCCTAGGACAGACTGAGGTCGCGGCGATCGATGCACCTCTATTTATACTTCCCGAGTCAAGAGAACAGAGAAAGAGAGCGAAAGGGAAAGAGCTACCTCTGTAGCTGCAACAGAGAGAGATAGAGCGTAAGCGCCATCTCTAGAGCACTGCAACAGAGGGAGGCAGGCATACCAAATGTTATTGTGAGTAAGAAAGAGAGCGAGAGGCAGAGGCTAACAGAGGCATACAGAAAGAGTGGGCAAGAGTAAGCTATTCGCTGCTATTACAATATTAATATTATTATTAATAATATATTGATAATATCAATATCATATATAATAATATAATTATATTAATATTAATTATTAATAATATTATATATTAATATTATATCATAATATTATATGAACGAAAACTAACTTCCGCCCGCCGAAGTTTTGATACCATTGCAAATTGTAAATGGATCATAAATAATTAATTGGATATAAATTATACATATTTTTGTTAAAGAAACAACAAAGAAAACCCTACTTATATTACATTCCCCGATACATATTAAATTAATAATTTTACACTTACAGTTTTGCATTTCCTCTATATTTAACGATCGGTTCATTGGCAGCTATAGGATATAGTTTATGGATCCGACTCGTTGAGAAAGCGAGTATAGTATAGAAGGGTTACTACAAATATTCATTTAAATAGCATCAAAACTGAGGAGGATTGTTTGCGGAGAAACGGACAGACGGACAAAAGGATCAAAAATATATATTCCTAATATGACCGGAAATGACTGATTCACTGCGTTGCAAACTTCTGAACTGAAATTATAGTACCTTACAACGGTATTATAATGAAGCAAAAGTTGGGAAAAAAATCAAGATTCGTAAATAACTTATAATTAAGTTAGGCTGTTAACTGTATAAAGTTAAAATTAAGTTATTGGTTCCATGGCAATGAGGGAATTAATGGGAAATAAATGCGTAGCTTGCACATGATCTCGCCTATATTATCTATATATACATATATGTACATATATGAATAAAAGATCATAATAAAGACTTACCGAAGTAAAGGACACGTCATCTTTCGTCATTGCTTAGTTCCTTCCGGTGAAGAGTTATATTCCTAGTTAGTTAATTAAGTGTCATCTTATTATATAGATGTGCTTCTTCTTGGTTATCCAGATGTATTCTATTGGCCACGTCATATTTTTGAGGTTGAAGGGTAATCACTATCACAATCACCACCGATGTTAACACTAGGTACCCCTAGGACAGACTGAGGTCGCGGCGATCGAAGCACCTCTATTTATACTTCCCGAGTCAAGAGAACAGAGAAAGAGAGCGAGAGGGAAAGAGCTACCTCTGTAGCTGCAACAGAGTGAGATAGAGCGTAAGCTGCAACAGAGGGAGGCAGGCATACCAAATGTTATTGTGAGTAAGAAAGAGAGCGAGAGGCAGAGGCTAACAGAGGCATACAGAAAGAGAGGGCAAGAGCTAGCTATTTGCTGCTATTACAATATCATATTAATAAAAAATCATTAATAATTAATATAATATGATTTGTATTTGTATTATATATATACATATGTATATGTATGTATATACTCTTAGGATTTGCTTTATTGCTTGTTATTATTATTTAAAAACTGTTTTTAAAACTTGTACTAAATGTGATTTAATATATTTTATTTTTGCAGCCAAACCAAAATTCACAAATTTTATAGGAAAAACCTGGTTCTATGCCATTCTGGCTGTGGGCTTCCTGGGTGTTTATTTAGCCGCCGGAGCTGGTCTTCTTTTACTCTGGGAAGACGATTGGACCTTCTTTGATGGCTTTTACTTTTGTTTTATAACAATGACAACTATAGGCTTTGGAGATCTGGTGCCAAGTATGTTATGGGAAACATAGAAATTAAAAAAAAAATATATTATTAATCTGTAATATCTTATTTTAACAGAGAAACCTAACTACATGTTGCTCTGCACTTTGTATATTCTCATTGGCCTGGCATTGACCTCCACCATAATTGAGTTGGTGAGACGACAATATGCCACCAGTTGGGCCAAGCTGCAGGTAATTTAAAAATTGATAAATATAATAAAATAAATTTAATATACTTAATTAACTTTACCCATCCAGGAACTGTCCGGACCCATGGCAGAGACCTTGCGACGTCTGGGCGAAACTGCAGGCACGGGTCTTGACTACACCGCTTTGCAGAAAGTGCTGACGGTAAAGCAATTAATAAATATGAATTATAAATTTAATAAATTAAATAAAAAATCCCTCAGGTTTCCATGCCCAAATGGAATAGCAACAAAAAGAGCGATCATAGTCCTGATATTGCCGCACTGGAGGCCATTACCAATGCCATATTGAAGGAGGTCAAGGAGGCGCAGAACAACAAGCCCAAGGTCCTGCAAATCGTCATCTACGAGTCCTCCGTCTAGGATAAATTATCAAAAAGGAGTATCAAGAGAGAGAGAGAGCTTCCATAGAGAAAGTGCGTTATATGTAGCTTCGGGCAGAAATTAAATAATATCAAAAAGTAAAATCTGACAAAATATCAAACGTAGTTAGGCTTGAATCAAGTTAAGTTACGCGATCGTCATCCATTAGTTACAGTAAACACTGGCCCCCAGAGTACAGCGTGTACCACTGTACCACTGCCAGACTTCCCATTACAAAAAATAAAAAATAGAGGGCCAGTGTTCGCACTTATAGCTATTATATAGTCAAATGTCTAGGCAATAATATTGCTCATACGTACTGAGGCCACACCACATACTCACGCACGCGGCAAAAGGGACTGTATAATGCCCACATTAGTCATAGATATAATATTATTATTAATTAATATAGCGATGTTTTTTTTTTGAGGATTCCCTATCATAAGTTATTAGTAATAATAATTAATTAAAACTCTTGTCCATACTATATGCGCAAATGTCATCTTATAAATAAACCAAGAAAAAGACTTAATTAATGGCGGGATTTTAAAAGGGAGGGATATGGGACTTTCAATCGCGGAAAGCTATTAGCTAAGCCCAAAATATCAGCTTTATCTAAACCTACTACCTTTGCTAAAAAGCTTAAAAGCTTTGACTAAAATTAAACGCTTGATTTTGAAGCTCATTGCGATGAGTGAAACTTTCTGACGCCGAGATTTAAGGGGTGCGTATACGACCTGTTGGCACGGGAAAAAAACGAACTTAGACAAGTCAATAGGGGTTTAAAAACCATTATAGTGTATAAACCCATTTAATTGTAGATCAAAAATAAAATAAAGTTGCAAGAAATTAAAAGGATTAATTTGGAAATTTATCATATTTAAGATCAAAATATTCACATTCTTTAAATTGATATTTATCAATATTTTTATATGACAATTTTTTTTACAAATCAAAGTTTAAAAAACTCATAACTAAGCCAAAAAAGCATTAATTTTAATTCGGAAAACTTTTCTATGTTAGTTTTTATTGGGTTAACAAATCATCATACTTAATTTAAAAATTTTAAAATATAGAAATTGTAGTACATTTTTTGACAATTTAAACGATGTAACCCATTGTAAAATTTTGAAAAAATTTCGAAATTTGAGGTGGCTAAATCGACCCGGATTTTGATGCTGATCAGGAATATATATGATTTCTAGGGTGGGAAATGACTCTTTCACAAAGATTTAAGTTTCTGACCTAAATTATAAGGTTCCGTAAGGGTATAATTATTTATAATAAACTAAATAAAATAAATTATTAATTACATTTTTTTCTTTGATAGTAAATAGTTATAAAGCTCTTGAAACGGAAGAAATAGCCGCATTTGATTTATTTTTTTTATATATTTATAAATTAAACTGAAATATATTAAATGTTTTGAGCAATTAGAATAGGCTCATTAGTCTATTGATTTATGTTTGTTATATATTTTGTATTTATAAATATATGATATACTATAGAAATTTGCTGCTAAATCCGTTATATACATCAAATTTTTAACGTTAAGCGAATATAAACAGATATTCGTAAATATTTTAATAATTTCTTAGATCAATACAATCGGATAGTTACAGATTATAGTGAGAATTTTAGTAATATTGATAATTTTATGTTATATTTTTCGAAAGCAAAAACTTAATTAAATATTCTGTATATCAAAGTTTACAATATTTCCCATATATTAACAAAAGCAATATGAAATGAATTAAAAGAACAGGGAAATATTTCTAAATCGGCTCGTCTGCCTGTGCTTTTCTAAATTATTATCAACCTTCTATTACTCTTATAACCCAACTACCAATTTTAAAATAGTTTACCAAACATTATATGTACATATATGTATATTCTCTGACCCTCATACGCAACTTTCAATTAATGCAATCATACCACAATTTTCTCTCTGTGTATACACACATTGTTGGCTATAAAAGTCGTTCGCACTGTGAGTCGGTCGCTAGTCTTTTTGCTGGAAAAGAGGCGCGAGGTGGGCGACGCGGATCCATCATTTGTGTATTATTCTATATATCTGATTTATTTTATCCAACAATCCACTATAGCAACTATAATCCAACCGTGTGTGTAGTGTGTGGTGTGTGCTGTGTGTGCTGTGTGTATATCTGTATAGGCTTGGGCTTGGGACCTGGATTGATAATACTTAGTAATTCTCGCTGTCGGACTCGCCGAGGGGCTGTCTCCGTTCAGTTGAGCGCTGGACGAGCAGCAAGTAACATCCGGTCCAACGATCTGATCCCGATCCAGATCCCGATCCGATCCCGATCCCGATCCCGATCCGACACCGACTTGAACCGAGAGTGCAGCGCGCATGGATAGCTGATAAGATCTCTGATAAGATCCCTCGTGTACTTGGGAGTAAAGTGCGTGATCCGGTCGTTATTTTTGTTTTTGTTTTCGTTTTCGTATTTTTTTTTTTTTTGTTTTGCTGGTGAACAAAGCTGCAAAGAGCTGCAGGGATCAGGATTCGAGAAGAACCGAACCGAACCGAACCGAGAGTCGAGTGCCATGGAAGTGTTGAAGAAGGATGCGGCCTTGGGTTCGCCCAGCAGTGTCTTCTACTTCCTGCTGCTGCCCACGCTGATGCTGTGGTACATCTATTGGCGCCTGTCCCGGGCCCATCTCTACAGGCTGGCCGGAAGGCTGCCGGGACCCAGGGGATTGCCCATTGTGGGTCATCTGTTCGATGTGATTGGACCGGCCTCATGTAAACAAGCGTTCAATCTTAAATAATTATAGTTATACAATTTTCATCAATTCATAACCATAAACCATAATCATAATCAACCATTTCAAATTTAAATTGAATTAAACAATCTGTTTTCGAATTCTTAATTTATTTGATTTGAGCTCAATCTTATATAATTATAGTCATACAATTTTCATCAATTCATAATTTCCATTTTTAAATTGAATTAAACAATCTGTTATCGAATTCTTAATTTATTTGATTTATATATGACTTTTTATTCATTTACTTAATCAAGCTTTAGAATTTCATTTGCTTGCATTCATATTTTTACCTCATTATTTTGACATTATCAATATCAAATCAGATTTTATTTAAACACCCTACAATAATGTTGAACCAATTATATATTGCTTGAACATTTTGAAAAAAACACATTGGCTTAAATATTTTAATAAATTAATAATAAATTAAATTAAATTAATTTTTCCGTTTGCTCATTATATATATAAACATTTTCAGTTAGATTTTATTATTTTTGATGAGATTTTATACTAAGTAATAGTTAATTGATTTATTAAATTGTTTAATAATTGATTTCTAAAATAATATATAATACATAATAGTAAATAGGAAATAAACTTTTTGTATTTCTATTTATTTTTTGGTTTTTAATAAACTAAAATTGATATTTTTAATATGTTCTTTTTGTCAGCATTAAAGCAAACGGAATTATGTTCCAAGAATTCACTTGTTCATTATAAATTAATAAGTTTATGTAAAAAGCGTATAATACATTTTTAAAATTAAAATACTACAGTAAAATCAAAAATTATAATTTATTTATATATTATTCTATTTAAAAACACTAATTTCTTGTAAAGAATTAAATTGCCTAAGCCGATTTTTAAATAATTTTTTCATATACCAGAAAAATAATAATAATTAAGTATTTGGCTTTGCAAAATTGGAATTGATTAAATGTATTTATTTATTTAATATCTTTTCCCTCCAAGTTAATACTATTTAGTTACTGTGTCAGTTATTTTTATTATATTTTATTTATTTAAGTTTTTGATACTCATCCACTTCCCACTCATCAATTTAATCATTTAAAATGTCCCTATAATAAATAATAACTCAATATCTCTCTCGTTTTGCAGCCGTTTTCAAGACAGTCATCCGGAAAAGTGCCCCCTTTGAGCACATAGCCAAAATGTGGATCGGTCCCAAGTTGGTGGTCTTCATCTATGATCCTCGGGATGTGGAACTGCTCCTGAGCAGCCACGTCTACATTGACAAGGCGTCCGAGTACAAATTCTTCAAGCCCTGGCTGGGTGACGGCCTCCTAATCAGCACAGGTGAGGTACATACATACATGCCTATGTACATAAATTCATACATTGAGTACATGTGTACATAGCAAATAAGATCATATCATTATTAATGGGGGAGTGGGAGGGGGAGGGGCGGAGGGTGATGGCAGCTTGAGTACCACTTGCCACTAATGCAATTTGCGGAATCATAAATTAATGAAGCTGTACCGTAGCCTGACAGTTGGCAATGTCGCTATAAATAAAAAAAAACAGCGTCGCAAAAAAAGTCACCGAAAAAAATTAATGCGGGAGAGTTTATATTAAAAAAGCAAATATTTAAAAATATATAAAAATATATTATATAGAGATATATGTTTAAAAATATATACAAAATATATTATATAGAGATATATGTTTATATTAAAAAAGGAAATATTTAAAAATATATAAAAATATATTATATAGAGAAATGATAATATGTATAAAAACAATATAATATATAAAGAAATAATAACTCTAAATAATAATTGATTACGTTATGAAAGCCCCTATTTATGAAGACTTATTCTTTGAGTTGAATGTATGTTAAACATTTATGAAACAATTTGTAATATATATTTAAATAGGAATTTTTATTATTATTCTTTTCTTAAAAAATAAAACAGCCTTTATAGTAGTTATTTAAGGCTCTTAGAAATCACGGAATGATCTCATTTAATTATTTGAATTTTGTATGCCTTCCTTTAAATAATTTTATTGTTGATACCCTTCTCTTAAGCATATGCAGAAATTTATAAGAAATTCTTTAGGCAAATCTAAAATTCTAATCTAGCCATTTTTGTTATTTGTTATTGTTACTTGTTATTTTTTTCCATTTATTCCGACTTAAGAAAATTGTGCTTTGACATTTATTTTATTTCGAATTAATATTTTATTTTAAACCCAATAATTATCTCAGAATACCGGATATCTAATGGTTAATTAAACTTGACTCAACATTTTTCCCATAGATTTCTTTACTTTCAAATTTGTGTATACCCTTTTTTTGAAGTGCATTGAAAATGATTTGTATATATCATAAAAGTTTAATTAAATCAAGTGCGCTTTTAGGTCTATTTTTATACCCTTGCAGGGTATTATTATTTCAGTCAGAAGTTTGCAACGCACTGAAGGAGGCACCTCCGACTATATAAAGTATATATATTCTTGATCACGGGATCACTAGCCGAGTCGATCTAACCATGTCCGTCTGTCCGTTTCTACGCAAACCAGTCGTTCAGTTTTGAAGCTATCAAAATGAAACTTTGTAGTTAGTCTCCTATATACTCCCACTCGTATATATGTTGGAACGGGCCGGATCGGACGACTATATCATATAGCTGTCATAGGAATGATCGGAACATTTAAAAAAAAAAAATTATAACATTTTCAGTTTTCAACATAATTTAATCAAATTTGAGATATTGCCATTTCATATTATTCTACCATTTTTGTGTAAAATTTTATGAAAATCGGACTACTATATCATATAGCTCCCATAGGAACGATCGAGAAATTAATTCAATTAAAAATTGTAACATTTTCAGTTTTCAACAGAATTTTATCAAAATTTAGATACAGCCATTTTATATCAGTCTAAAATTTTGTATCAAATTTTTTGAAAATCGGACGACTATATCTTATAGGTGCCATAGAAACGATTATTAGATGTGGAGCAAAAATGCAAATCTGTGAATGTAAATCTGCAAATATAATATGTATAGGGGAATGAAATGAAAAGAGGTATTACTTCATTGTTTTTTAACATAAATATATATAATTTATATTGTATGGATTCCTAGTCATCGAAGTTCTATCTGCAAGGGTATATAAACTTCGGCGTGCCGAAGCTAGCTTCCCTTCTTGTTAAAAATGCAAGCTGTAAATAGTTTTGGGTTCTATTCTTTGCTATCACAATTCCATATGATATTTATCTATTTATATATATTTTAGACTTCTTTATTTATTTTATTTTATCCTCTCAATTGCAGGTCAGAAGTGGCGTTCGCATCGCAAACTGATCGCACCTACATTCCATCTAAATGTCTTGAAGAGCTTTATTGAGCTCTTCAACGAGAACTCGAAAAATGTGGTGCGGAAGCTGCGTGCGGAGGATGGTCGCACTTTTGATTGCCATGATTACATGAGCGAAGCAACCGTGGAGATTCTATTAGGTAAGTGAGGAGAGCAGCGATTTATATACAGATAGAGATACTGATACGGATACATATACAGTTATAGATACAGATACAGATGGAGATACAAATACAGATACGGATACATATACAGTTATAGATACAGATACAGATGGAGATACAAATACAGGATACTGATATAGGTACAGATACAGATACAGATACAGGATAATGATATAGATACAGATACAGGATAATGATATAGATACAGATACAGATACAGGATAATGATATAGATACAGATACAGGATAATGATATAGATACAGATACAGGATACTGATATATATACAGGATAATTATATAGATACAGATACAGAATAATGATATTGATACAAATAATGATAATGATAATGATAAAGATACAGATACAGATACAGGATAATTATATAGATACAGAAACAGGATAATGATAAAGATACAGATACAGGATACTGATATATATACAGGATAATGATATAGATACAGATACAGGATAATGATATAGATACAGATACAGATACAGATACAGATACAGATACAGATACAGATACAGATACAGGATAATGATATAGATACAGATACAGGATAATGAAATAGATACAGATACAGGATACAGATACAGATACAGATACAGATACAGATACAGATACAGATACACAGATACAGATTCAAATTTGGATTACACAGAAAGTACAGTCAACTCACACGCACTCAGTGACGATAATTCACACGATTCCCATCCTCATTTCCGATGCGTGTGTCCAAATCCAAATCACCCAAATGTTCACAGTTCCATGCTATATGTATATATTTATGCGATAGATATATACATGCGATATATATACTACAACTGTACTGTTCAAATTGAGTGCAGACCCATTTCCCTATATACTGACAAATCAAAAATTTTTATGCTTTTGTTGTGGGCCCCACAATGGGCACAAAAGAGATATCTGATGTGTACATGAGTTGGATATGAATATACATAAATATATATTTAATTATGAGTTAAAACTAATGCAAACTGGTTGTTATCTTGTTATCATTTAAGAAAAAATAAGGCCATTGACAAAGTTATTACTCCTTATTACTCTTAAACCAAGATCCCTTCCCTTCCCAAGATCTCATTTTAAGAGACATGCCTAACTATATATATATGTCCTCCTCCTTAAAAAAAATACTATTATAAACCCTAATCCTTAGATGATATTAATATAAAGTTGAAAGATCATGAAGTTTTTTAATCACCTAAATATATATATAAATAAAAGCAATAAATCCCTTAAAAGAAGGGATTACTTCCAGAGAACTTTGATTACTTTAAAGGCAATTTAAGCAATTAAAATCAATGGCTGTAATTTAGGATATATATATATCAAAGGATACAAGGAGTAATATAATATTTTCTGCATTTGTTTAAGTTTCTCAAGTCCCGTCCCCCTACTTAAAAGAAACTGATGAAGGTAGCTTAGGTCATGTGCAAACCCATTGGGTGGTCGGCAACATCATAAAATCACTAAAAAATTCAAATTTAAATACTAGTACACACCATTCGCTTAAAGTCAGTCACGTTTTTGGGGCCGGAGAATTAAAAACCAAACAAAAATGAAACAAAAAGAAAAAAGTGAAATCTACGCTGCCAAATTGGAAGGCGGCCAATGTTAATGACATTGCAGTGACAGTATTTGCAATATTTTCAATTAGGCAGTTTAAGCAGTTTGGTCAATTTGGGATTGATTTCTAGGCTATTGCATAATACCGCGTCTCGTCCCCCCTTCAATTGAAATGCAGCCAAGATTACAGAATACAAAACTCAACTGGGACTTGGGACCGCCAACGAGCTGGGGTTTCGAGCTGCAATTAAAGGCACGTCGCATTGCCATTAAGCATTTAATCAGGAAAATTTGAATGCAACCGTGCAACCTACAGCAGCAACGACAACGACTCAGGTTGTCCAGCCAAGTTATCCACAATCATCACCACCATCACGATCACAAATGATGGGATATGGAATGGCCTGGAATGGGATGGGATGGGATGAGGCCATGTGACGCAAAACGGGGCAATTAGCAATTAAGACCAGAACAGAACTGAAATGAAAATGAGCGCAGAAGCATCGCAAAATGAGGTTTATACAAAACACAACAAAAATACAGTCAAACTGGGTACACAAATTATAATATTTTCAATTCGAGAGGAAGACTCACCGAGAAAATCCGGAAAAATGAATTGCATTTGCCGGGAGATTTACTTCTAGTCTTTACACTTACTCACTTAATTACTAGATGTAATTGTTGTAAAAATATATATTATTATCCAAAATATATAAAAACTAACACATCACAGTTTTTCGAATGAAATTCATCCACTTTTGGCTTAGTTATGATCAAATAAAATTTACAACAGTGCGTATACGTAATTTTTTATACCAGAGTCGCAAAAATTAAGTATACGCACTGGTGTATTCAAATTTAAAGAAAAACAAAAAACAAATGTTGGCCAAATTTTGCTATATTCCATATTTTTAATAAAAATCAATTAAGAAATATTGACTGCAGGATAATGTTTCGATTTACGAATCGATTTTCTAATTAAATTGCAAACTGTAAAGCAATATTAACTTGGGCTAACCGAAGTTAGTTGCTTTTCCTGTTTTAATTTTAATATATGTACTTTGTGGAAAATAAAGCTTCGAGCTAATACATATAGTAGAAATATAGTTATGCATTTTTTAGCTACTCCTTGTGGCATCGCAACCGGAGTGTATCGAAATTCCTGTCTCGCCTTTTTCCCACAGCTCAGTAAGCAAACAGACATTGTGCCGCAATCCGTATGCTCGTTTATGCTGTCATCTATAGATCTATTTATGCATTGTATCTACAATTAGACAGGAGCGGGAATCGAGGGGTTCTGTTGTATGTTTGTTAAGTTCAATTGGCGCTTGGGTCAGGCGAGTGCATTCCACTTCCCCCCATTTGTGCCAGAGCTACCATCTTCATTTTCATCTCCGAACCGATCTCGATTCAAGCAGATTTTTGATTCCAGTTTCTGCAGCTTACTTTATATATTTACAGCTTAATTTTTTGTATTAATTTTTTTTTTAACTTTTCAGAGACAGCAATGGGAGTGTCGAAGAAAACGCAGGATAAATCCGGCTTCGAGTATGCCATGGCCGTGATGCGAATGTGCGATATCCTTCATGCCCGCCATCGCAGCTTCTTTTTGCGCAACGAGTTCGTCTTCACCTTGACCAGGTACTACAAGGAGCAGGGACGGCTGCTTAACATCATCCATGGACTGACCACCAAGGTGATACGGAGCAAGAAGGCAGCCTTCGAGCAGGGCACACGAGGCTCCTTGGCCCAGTGTGAGCTGAAGGCGGCGGCCTTGGAGAGGGAGCGTGAACAGCAGGAGCAGGCGGAGAGTCCTGCCAGTGAGGCCAAGAATCCTATCCCGACTCCAACTACAACAACAGGCACAACTACAAGCACCAGTACAGGCACACCGGTGGCAGGACTCTCTTATGGCCAGTCAGCGGGACTCAAAGACGATCTGGATGTGGAGGATAATGATATTGGGGAAAAGAAGCGTCTGGCCTTTCTCGACCTAATGCTCGAGAGTGCTCAAAATGGTGCCCTCATAACGGATACGGAAATCAAAGAGCAGGTGGACACCATTATGTTTGAAGGACACGATACCACCGCAGCTGGCTCTTCGTTTTTCCTCTCATTGATGGGCATACACCAGGGTATACAGGATCGAGTGCTTGCCGAGCTGGACACGATTTTTGGGGACTCACAGCGACCGGCCACGTTTCAGGTGGGTTATTACTATTCAATTATTTTGTTTTAATTTAAATCTGTGAAAATTTACAGGACACTTTGGAGATGAAGTATCTGGAAAGGTGTCTAATGGAGACGCTACGCATGTATCCGCCCGTCCCATTGATTGCTCGCGAGCTGCAGGAGGATCTTAAGCTAAATTCGGGCAACTACGTGATCCCCAGGGGCGCCACGGTAACGGTGGCCACTGTCCTGCTGCATCGCAATCCCAAGGTCTATGCTAATCCCAATGTCTTTGATCCGGACAACTTTCTGCCGGAGCGACAGGCCAATCGTCACTATTACGCCTTTGTGCCCTTCTCCGCGGGACCACGCAGCTGTGTGGGTGAGTTCCAGAGGTCCTTAAGCCTTAAGGATCGAACTCCTGACAGTTTCCATAATTTTAATAATGTATATATATTATATTATATATAAATAGGGCGCAAATATGCGATGCTCAAGCTGAAGATCCTTCTGTCGACCATTTTGCGAAACTATCGTGTCTACTCGGATCTGAGCGAGTCGGACTTTAAGCTCCAGGCGGACATTATCCTGAAGCGGGAGGAGGGCTTCCGCATCCGGCTGCAGCCGAGGACCAGATGAACCAGGACATCGTGGATCAATGGACACAGCAAAACACCGTACACAATAAGCAACACAGAACGGACACTTATCCATACATATATCTCTCTACTTGTTGGCAAGTGATAGTCACCGGTTTATACAGTAAATATTAATTATAATAAATAATAAACGTGCTCCCAACACTCGATTTATTGAATAGTAATAATAATTATGCTTTTTTCGCATTTAACACGAAAAACAATAATAACAACAGCAATTATCATCATCTTCCTTTAACCGCAACTTTTTTTTTTTTTTTGTTCTTTATTTAATAATAATACAATTTTTGTGTAATGATTTTGACAATAAATCTATGGTGTAATTACATAATTACAAAATGCGATCGAACGAAATGAATGAGGTGAGTACCGTTGAAATAACTATGCCTATAGTTATCCGTTTTATTCCAGCTTTCACATCCTTAAAAAGTCCTTGGGGATTTAAATTTCCCTCTGTTAACAAATCTGTTAACTTCCTAGGAAAGGTGTATCAATTTCACTCAGAAGCTTGTAACGCTGTGAAGGAGTCATTTCCGACCCTATAAATCATATATATTCTTGATCAGCATGAAAAACTGAATCGATCTAGCTATCTTAAGCAGTACACAATTTTTTAATTTTTTCCAATTTTTTAAGGGGTTAGTTACATCGTTAAAATTGTCAAAAATTTAATGAAAATTTTAATTTTTCAAATTTTAAAATTGAGTATGCAGATTTATTAGCCTGATAAAAACTAAAATAGAAAAACTTTCCGAATTAAAATTAAAGTTTTTTGGCTTAGTTATGAGTTTTTTAAACTTTGAATTGCCCTAAAAAATGATCATATGGAAATATCAATTGTATCTAAATGATTTCATTATATATATTTTGATTTGCTATTAAATTAATATATAAATTGATTATATAATAAAGGAGAAATGTATAACAATAAAAGTACAATTTTTTGTAATTTAAAAAGCGGTTAAATACAAAATTAAAATATTTAAAAATTTGTGAAGAAATTTAATAGAACATTAACAGAGGAAAGTTTTGAAGCAGTCTACATTATGTACACAACGATTCAATTTAAATACCGCGCCAAAGTGTTAATTTTCAAACACTTGCATCAAGTGTGGTCACACTAAACAGCTGGTCGGGTCAGCATTAATTTTTTTTCTTAACATGCAGCGAAAGTGACACGAAGGCAACAGATTTAAAAAACCAATAGGAAAGGGAAAGCGATTGTATTTCTTTATTCTATTTGTTGTTGCGCCCAAGAAAACGGAAGGAAATTACCGCCAGGATGTCGAGCGCAATCGATGAACTGCAGGCCATCATTGCGGAGCTCAAGAGTGAGCTGGATGAGCAACGGACGAGCAGCCACCAGGCTGCAGCTCACCGCGAACGCATCGAACGGATGTCAGCGGAGGTGGTGGACTCCAATCCCTACAGTCGCCTGATGGCTCTCCAGCGGATGAACATTGTGAAGGAGTACGAGAGGATCCGTGACAAGACAGTGGCCATTGTGGGAGTCGGCGGCGTTGGCAGTGTCACCGCCGATATGCTGACGCGGTAAGGGGAGAGGGAATCTTTATGCCTTCTTTGTAGTATTAACTTTACTTTACTCCCCTGCAGTTGCGGCATCGGCAAGCTGATACTCTTCGACTACGACAAAGTGGAGCTGGCCAACATGAATCGTTTGTTCTTCACGCCCGACCAGGCTGGCCTGTCCAAGGTGGAGGCCGCTGCCCGCACTCTGGGCTTCATCAATCCGGATGTACGCATCGAAACGCACAACTATAACATCACAACGGTGGAGAACTTTGATCGCTTCCTCGCCACAATCATGGAATGCGGCACGGTGGCGGGTCAGCCAGTGGACTTGGTGCTTAGCTGTGTGGACAACTTCGAGGCACGCATGGCCATCAATGCGGCGTGCAATGAGCGCAATCTAAACTGGTTCGAGTCGGGAGTATCGGAGAATGCCGTTTCCGGTCATATCCAGTTCATCCGTCCCGGTGACACGGCCTGCTTTGCCTGTGCCCCGCCTCTGGTTGTAGCCGAGAATATTGATGAGAAGACATTGAAGCGGGAGGGCGTGTGTGCTGCCTCCCTGCCTACCACAATGGGCATTACGGCTGGTTTTCTCGTCCAGAATGCTCTGAAGTACCTGCTTAACTTTGGCGAGGTCTCCGACTATTTGGGCTACAATGCCCTCAATGACTTCTTTCCCAAGATGACGCTTAAACCGAATCCGCAGTGCGACGATCGCAATTGTTTGCTTAGGCAAAAGGAATTCCAGGCACGACCAAAGCCCGTTCAAGTGAAGGAGGAAGTGGTCAGTGATGAGCCCCTGCATGCCACCAACGAATGGGGTATCGAGCTAGTGGCCGAGGATGCACCGCCCAGCAGTAATCCCGAACCAGCCCCAGCCATGGAAGTGGGACACGGCCTGAAGCTTGCCTACGAGGCTCCCGAAAAGACCAGTGAAGATGCGCCGGTTGCATCCGTGGCGGCGGCAGATGAAACCAGCCTGGAGGATCTGATGGCACAGATGAAGTCGATGTGAATGAAATTCCATTATATTTATAGACTCTAAATGGCCTTTGTTTTGTAATTGATATTTTTGTATCACTTTTTTTTTCTTTGCTATAAAAAATTATGTGTGATTGTGCATTTAATCTTGCAAATACATAAATTTTGATAAAATTTATGAGAATTATATTTATAAAGTGCTTATTACAATCGATATAATAATATAAAGAGAAGTTGAGATTATTATGGAAAGATATGTAGATTTTTTACAGAAAAAATTGCTAAATAAATAAAAGCCAGGTGCTTTAAATATTTTCAAATATTATTTTTTAATTATTTTTATTATTTAAATTTAAATCTAATATTAACTAAATATGTCAGCAAAAAACCATAGGATTTTGAAAACCTTTAATTAAGGTTTTTAAATAAATCAATCCCTGATTTTAGTTAGGTTTACATTCTATAAAATTCAATTTATATAATAAATTATAATTTATTTAAATATTAAATATTCTTAGATTATTTGTACCCAAGACATTTTATTTAAAAACACAATAGAATGATAGCTATCCAATAACCAGGAAAATTTTTATGTATTTGGGATATTTTAAACATTAAAATACAACATTATATTCTTGCTTATTAACTTATTATTAAATATTTAAATATCATTATTATTTTCTATTTGCAACTTCTGTTACACGTATAAATTTATTAAATTATTTAAACTTTTGAAGTCAAGCCCAAAAAGTGTTGGTAAATACTTTATTTTGCCAGAACCGACAACCCTCCACTTTGGTTGTATCGTATTTTTGCGTATAACAACTGCGGCCACACTGCTTGTCGCGTTGTCACAAAAGAAAAAGGAAGAAAGTCGAGAAAATTTTGTTTTTTCCTTGACTTAAGCAACGCACTGGAGCCCCGAGTCCCAGACAACCGAAACCCCCAAAAAAAGAGCACACTGAATATGTCCAAGAAGGAGGAAAAGTCGCAGCCCGGCGAGGAGGTAAGAACTGTTCCGTGTAGAGCCCAGGCAGGCAAAGTTTTTTTGCCGGCTTGGAAACGAATGGTGGCTCAAGAGACCACGTCACTGCAGATAATTAATATTTACGCTTTCCTACCAAATAATACAGCTCGTGAAGGTGAACAAGTGGGATGGCTCTGCCGTGAAGCATGCCCTCGATGATGCGGTGAAGACCTGCCTTCTGGGCGACCGTCCGCAGCTGAAGGAGCAATTCGGCTTGGTCAACACTCGTCTGGCCCTCTGCGCCCTGGCGGTGGGTGTGGCTATTATGGCCCATGCCTGGGATTTTACCCATCCATTCCCGGAATCGCGTCCCGTCCTCCTGTTCAGTGTCCTGGCCTACTTTGCTCTCATGGGCGTGCTGACGCTGCATTCCAGCTTCCGTGAGAAGGGCACCTTTGCCGTGGCAGTGCAAAAGGATAAGGAGCGTGAACGACTGTGGGAGGCCAGCTCTGATATGCGCAAGTACGACGACAAGTACCTGCTCACCCTGAGCGTGCGGGACTCGCGCAATGGCAGCAAACGACGTGAACAGACCAGCAACAAATCCTGCGCTGCCTACATCGATCAGAATGGCATCGTGCTGGACACCCAGGTGGCCAATGAGGTAAACCGCCTGTTCAACTCCTTAGCCGCCGAAAAGAAGGATAAGTAGCTGGTGCTACTGGCGGAGGATGTCTGAGCGGCGAAGTTCATTCTCTTCTTTTTTTTTCTCTTTGAATAAAACCAAAATCCTACTTTAATTTCTCTATAATTTAAACCATTAAATTGTAAACTCTCAACGGAGTTGTCTTTGATTCGTCCCCCGCCTGGTGATGCTTATCAAATATGTAAAGCAGAATAACAAAAATCAGGGCGGCTTGGAGAAGTTGAGCACTGGAGAAAAGCGAAAGCAGGAGCAGAGAGGCGGAAATAGAATAGCTGAGGAAAGGAGCTTCCGCAGCGATGCAGTAGTGGCTTCCCTGGGGTTTTTAAGAAGCTTCCTGGAGATTGGATTAGCATTAGGATGCGGGAGATAGTTACCCTGCAGATTGGCGGCGCAGGCAATGCCATTGGCGATGCTGTAAGTACGAAATGTTTGGGATATTTTTTAAAAACTAATTCTTTGAGTAAGCCAGAGATGTTTCTCCTTGAGAGAAGGCTTCCTCACGTCTCCCACTATTTATTTTATCCATTCTGTTTCAATTTGCATATATTTATAATCTGATACGTTCAGTTCTGGCACGTTATCTCCCACGAGCACGGCGTGGACTATGCCTCAGGAAGGTTCGGCGGCACCAGTCCCCTCCAACTGGAACGCATCAATGTGTTCTTTAATGCCACGGCCAGCAAGAGATTCTATGCCCGCACCATTATTATCGATACGGAGGCCAGCACCATCCAGCGTCTGAATGCAAGCAGCCAGCTTTACAGGCCGGAGAATTTTGTGGCCGGATCGGAGAGTGCGGGAAATAACTTTGCCCGTGGCTATCATACGGACGGTGCCGAAATCCTTGAAACGGTATTGGATAATACACGACGCGAGGTGGAGTCCGTGGACTCATTGCAGGGCTTTCAGCTGCTCCACTCTATTGGCGGTGGCACAGGCTCGGGTCTGACCTCTCTGATAATGGAGGCTCTCGTACAACAATATCCCGACAATTTGCTGTGCAACTATGTGACAATACCATCACCCAATATGTCTCAAGTGGTGGTGGAGCCATATAACGCCCTGCTGAGCACCCCGGCTTTGGTGAATAACTCGCATCTGACCTTCTGCCTGGACAATGAGGCTCTGTTTCAGATCTGCAACCGAAATCTGCAGATAAAGACATCCGGCCACGAGCACATTAACCATATTGTAGCCCTAACCATGTCAGGGATAACAACATGTCTGCGTTTTCCGGGTCAGCTAAATGCTGGTCTGCGCAAGATCTATGTGAATATGGTGCCATTTCCCCGCCTGCATTTCCTCATACCTGGATTCGCACCGCTGGTCACCTGCAAGCAGCAACAATTCAGCAAGGGCACCGTCTCTGAGCTGGTCCAGCAGATCTTCTCCAGCAATAATCTGCTCTGCGCCATCGATTTGCGACGGGGCAAACTCCTGACGGCGGCCGGTATCTTTCGGGGCAGGATGTCGCCGCGCGAGGTCGATCAGCTAATGACCGGTGTGCGGAATAAGAATATCAGCAATTTTGTGGACTGGATACCGAATAATATCAAGACGGCTATTTGTGATATACCGCCACGTGGTTTGAAAATGTCCGCGACCTTTATAGGCAATACGACAGCGATACAGTCACTATTCCAGCGTCTCCTGGACGCCTCAATTGCGATGTTGCGGCGAAAGGCACATCTTCACTGGTACACCGGCGAGGGCATGGAGGAGCAGGAGTTTATGGACGCCCAGCAGGAGCTGCAGGCCATCATTGATGATTATCGCTGTAGCGCTGAGGGTGATGAATGTGGCGGTGGAATAGCCAGTGGAAGCAATTCGGGTGATAAGGAGGATGATAATAGCAGCGATGTGGCTGGAGAAGGTCCCCAGTGCACTTACTGTGCGGAATAGGCACCAACCCATCTCCATATATTAAAGCTTAGCATAGCCCCCGCCCCCATAGGTCTTCAGGAACTGGAAGTTATCTCTTTCTGCTTTCGATATATACATATATATATATAGGATAATCTAGGGACACAACCGAAGCCGTTGCCCAAATTCCGAAGTGGTCTCCATTGTTGTCTCGCGTTTTGAATGGATTCGCATTCATATATAGTTTCGCTAACCAATAGGAGGAAAATTCACAAATTGTTTAGAATATATTTTGAGTAGAGGATATTTTTTTAATAAAGTAAAAATCTAAGTATATGTTAGTGCATTATTGTGGATTTTGAAAATAACTATTCTTGATGGAGGAAATTGTTCTCTTTTATTAAATAAAACTATATTTTTCGATGGTAATGTGTTAATTAAGTTACGGATAATTAAATAATGAAATAATGTTTCAAAAAATCACAATTTTTCAAGATACCTTGCATTCGATTGCTCGGCATCCCATTTTCTATTTTCAGAATGAACGGACGGGCCAGCAGGCATTTTTCCCGTAGGTCAAAAGCCGGATCTGCTAAACTTGAACTGCTGCCAAGAGGAGTTTTTCAGCAAAAGTGCAGGGAGCTGGGCGAAAGAACAATTATACATAGAGCGGTTCGGAGACGACGGCATTATTAATAGACGGATGGATGCTAAAGGTTTTTGCACTTGGTTTATTTCTGTTGCTCCGCATTCCTAAGATGCCGTCGTAGTGACAAAAATATAGTCACAAAATCCACACGCACATGTGCAAACATAATGCATATCCCCCATGCCATTCACACAAAGAGAAAATCATCTTTTATATCCAATAAATTTCTAAATAATGAACAATTTAACAGTCGAAAAATGCAATTAAACATCATTAAATTATACAAATCCTCTACTTTTCCTTACTTTCCTTTGAGTTTAGTGCATAAAGTCGGTTGTATTATCTATTCATTGATGGAAAATATATAAACAAAGTAGTTGGTAAGTATAATTTCGGCTCAGTGTATGCAAGTGGAGCACTCACACCTACATAACCATGGGAAAGCGGCGGAACAGCATAGAAGGTAGGGTAGTGGTTGAGGGGGGTTTGAAAAGCCAGGGAAGTGCAAGCATAAATTTAAATATAAATTAAGAATTCAATAGACACTCGAGATGCCAAGTATTTGTGGGCTGGGCCACGCCCACCGCACCTCTAAAAGGAAAAGCAAAGACTCGAGCTACAGAAATAACCGAAATTACACAGCGCTGAGGCATTTTTGAATTTGTCCGGCAGTGTGACCATGTGTCAGAAATTGGAAAAAACTCTAGCAATCGCTAAACGTGATTCTCTGGGAAAATATGTGAACATTTTATTTAAAAATCTATTATTTTCGCGCAAAATGAGAGAATTTGCTTATTCTTTTCTTTGGTTTCAAAATAATATCTCTTATTCGGTCGGTTATGAAAAACTAAATTGAATAAGCAATAACACCGATTCCAATCAGACTGCTGGACGAGAATTCTATCCCATGTATTTGCACACGTGTCAAATGTAAAATATAAGTCGAACCGGGTTACATCTTCAGTGTGGCCAGCTGACGGAAATCCCATCACCATTTCTGAGTCTTCAGTATTACTAACAGAAAACCGCACAGCCACACTTCAAAAAAAAATATTTTTCGACGGAGGCGGTTGTGTCGCGGAAAAACGTAAAAGTTCGAGCTCTTAAATACCTTAGTGAAGCGGTGTGCCGCGGAAATGCATCTTCTGCCGTTGAATTTAAAAACCTAATCGAGACTTCGCAGCTGTAGCCTTTTCAACGACTAAGACTTAAACGACGAAAAAAATAGCTGCCATCCGCTTCCACCAAAAGCAAACGAACGGTTCGTGTGCATACCACAAAGTTTTTCGCATTGGGCCCCGCTTCGCTCGGCTCCTTCTTAATTTTTTTGGAGTTTGTTTTCGAAAGAAAAAAAGAACGGTACAGCAGGAATAACAAAAGCAAAACGAAACATAGCAAAAGGCATCACATACATACACTAGCTGGAGTTTGTTTTTTTTTTTTTTGTAATTTTCGACCATGTGTATATGTGTGTGTGTATTGTAGTTGCATAGTTTTGTTTTTTTTCTTGTGCTGGAATTTTGAGAGGGAGCGAAAGAGCGCGAGAGGGAAAGGGAGAGAGCGCGCGCGCAACGTCGTTTCTCGTATGAATTGAATAAATCTCGTGTGTTTACCTCTCCGACCAACCTTTCTATTTTTGTTATTGTGCAGTTGAGAATATCAAGCAAAAAGGAGTTGAAAATATTAACCAGCAAAACGAAATTGTAATAAGTAAATTTTGAAACGAAAGAAAGATCTCCGAAAGATCTGCGCTGCTGCAGCTGCTGCCCACACACACACACACTAGTACACACCACACCACACCACACACACACACAAAATGTTCATCGAAAAGGGAATTTTTCCCATTGGGGACGGACTTTTGGACGTGGACGCCGATCGATTTAAGGGATTACTGGTATCGAACGATATAAACGAGATCTACGAGGTGGAGCAGACGCCGTTTGCCAGGTGAGTTTCTTCTACTACTTCCACCTTATTCTGCAGTTGCTGCAGTCTCTTCTGTTTTGCCCAAAAACAAAAATTAAGAAGACACACACGAAAAAAAAAACAAGTTTATAGCATCTCCCAAAGCAGCTGCCAAAAATATATAAAAAAAGCGAAAACCGAAACAAAAGCTTCGAAATGTTAAAGAAAGTCAGTCAGCAGCCGAGTTGGTTTTTATTTTTCTGAAAAACTTCTGCGTCTCAAAACTTGTTTTATTTGTCTTTTTTCTTCTTTCTCATGTCGCCTGTCAAGTGTGCGTGTGTGTGTGTGTGTGCGAGCTTCTACTCAACACACATACACCAACACGACCCGCGCGGCTGCAGACAGAGAGAAAAGAGAGTTTTTGTGCGGACAACAAGGCACAGTGGGTTTGAAATGAAAAATAAAATAAATAATATACGAAATATGAAGGAACAAAAATGTTGGTTATATTTAAAGCTCTCTCTTAAATACTCTCTTTTTCTCTACAAATTCATGTTTCTGAAAATGGAATTTTAATTTAAACTTGTTTTGCCTAGCTAGACTTCATTAAATCCTATTTATTATATATCTTAAAAGGTGAAAGAAATGCTAAAAACATTTGAAGAATGTATACACTTGGATTATTAAATTACATTTTCATGGAAGTAATTTTTATTTAATAATCCAATATTTCTGTGCTTAACCACTGTACGGGGTTTTATTTTAGAGGCTTTACATACCTGATATTCCCAGGGTTCTTGAGCTAAGTTTTCTTCTATGGGATTTTAATTTATGGCATCCACTGTGCCTCTTCCTGTTCTCCCTCTCTTCCTTCCTTCCTTCGCTGCATGCCTGCCTGCCTGCCTGCTTGCCTGCCTCACTCACTCTCCCTATCGTCTTTGCCCTTTGCCCGCTCTTCTTTTGCCCAAAGAGCAGCAGCTGTTACCGCTGGGCTGATAAACTGACCTTCTGTGCGCTGTCTCCTTCTAACCCGCTCTCTCGCGAGTCGCGACTGCCTGTATTTCGCCGTAATTTCCTTTTGCATTCGCTCTCCTTCCACCATTTACTCTCAGACGTTAGGTTCGCTCATTTCTCTCCTTCTTGGTTACCTTTATTTTCAGATAGATTTGCATTTTGTGTACGAATTTCATTATAATTTCTTTTGCATTTCCTACCTTTTTTTCAACGGGCTTTCTTCGCCGTTCTCTCACTTAATTCTCCATACTTCAGACCTCATTTAAGGCCCCTTTGCGAAGGTCGTTTGTGTTGAATCCTACTGTTTCTTCATACTTCCCCATGCCCACGGACCCTATCTATCATTATTCCCCCGTTCTTTGTCACCTCCAGCTTGTGATAAGTTATCAACGAAAAGCAAACAACAAAATTAATACCTAAAAAACAAAAAGAAAAAAATTCCCAATCGACTTTTGAGTTTCGTAAGCAACCGCACGAAATTCAGTTTTTATAAACGGTACTTGATAGTGTGCCTCTGGGGATAGTTGTTCTTATCGTGGAACAGTTTTTCAATAAATAATGTTGGGTAACAATCAAATCAATAAAAGAACGAGCACGTCTTTTGATATCCTTTCGAATTTAATGTCAAATTCATTATTATTTATATCTTAACGTTGAAATCTTTTAGTAATTTCGCATTCATTGCATAAATCTTTATGTATTTCGTTTTTGTGATCCTTTTGGCTTGTGTGCAATCATTAATATTTGACTTAACATAACTCCCCTGGAATACCTTAAAAATATCCCTTATTTGGCAGAAAAGGTAGCGCCTCAGGCGGGTTATTTTACTTGGGTTATTTTTTAATATTTTTCTCGTGGTTCTCCGGTTCCGCATTCGCACGAGAGCTACTTGTTGCTGCGTTTGCTTTCGTCTCACGTTATTCTCGATTCTGTTTCTTTATTTTTTTCTTAATGTTTTCTTTGTTTTTTAATTATATATATTTTTTAGGCTCGTTTTCTTTGTTAACCGATTAATTTTTATCTGGAAACTCTTAACTTAATGCAGCTTAATCAGTTGCAAAAAAAGATAAAGTGAAAGAGGGGGAAGCACAGGGTTAGTCAGTAGGATTTTCTACCTCACAAAATACGCACAACAAATTTAAAATTCAAAAATATTTAAGCACAATCACACCGTCTAGAGTTTAACCCATTATGACCAACCGGAAAAGGAGGCCGCCGTGGTCAATCAATCAATCAAGGGAGGAGAGGAATGCGAAAATGTTGGGCAATTGGTCAGGAAATATAATAATAATATTTTTTTATAACGTCTGAGCTGTGCATAATTGAGCTTGGATGGATCCAATCCATGGTAAAAAGAAAAAAATATATATGTACATATATAGTTTTTGCTGCTGTTGTTGGTAGTACTATGGCCCAATTTTTATGGAGAAACAGAAATACAAATTGACAGCAAGACAAATGAAGTTGTGGACACCAAAAAGTTGAAGTTTTCTTGTTGTTGGTCTTTTTTCTTGGCTAGTAGCTTCCACAAGACTTCCACAAAGCCCACTTGACTTCAACATTGGCATATTGTCCAGTTTTTTCGAAGTTTGGCCTTTCAATAGGAAATTAGGACGCATTTTGTGGGTAGCAGCAGCAGTCTGTAGTAAAGCCGAAATGCTTGCATAATGGAAACTTGATTTGATACTCATTTATTTTTTGTTGTTGTGCAGAATAAAAAGATATGTACATAGTATTATTTTTGTTGTATATATGCGAATATGTGCGAAGCTATAATAAATAATAGTAATTAACCATTGAAATTAAGGTCTATGTACATGAGGAAAGTAATACCAAGAGGGGTTTCTTTTATATGGGATTATTTTTAATTTTTCGGGTAATATAAATGCCCAAATATAGTGTTAAGGTTTATTAATAGTTTTTTATTTTATTTATTTAGTTTATTTAAGAATATGTAAAAAGTTATTGTGCGAAGGCTTTAAAAGGCAAAACTAATTGAAACTTCTTCTGCATGGTAGAATAATTATAGGCGTTCTGCATCTTTTTTAAAAGGTTCTTAGATATATTATTCAAAAATATCTTTAATATCTCCATCTGAGTTTCCTTTCAGTAAAATTAAGTAAAGGTTTGACCGAATTAGGAATTTTTTATTCCACTTAATCTAGATAATACACTTTCTACACTCTCCACCCACCTACGATAAGAATTTTCCGTACAATTGACTGCCACAATTTCAATTTTGACCTAACATAACCTCAATGAATGTGACTGACGTCACGGGTAAAAAGCAACCCCAAAAAAGGTAGACAGAATCCCTGGCCAAGAAACCAGGGAAATGTGGCAGTGAGAAAGGCCGCCCCCCCGAAAAAACCGCCCACACAGAAGAAAATCTATAAATACATACAAAAAAAGTAAAATAACAGATGATAACAGATGACTTTTGGGTTCGTTTTGGAACTTGGTTTCTGTTCCAGTTGCTGTTGTGTTGTGTATGTTTTGTTTTTCGGCTTTCCTTGCTTGGGGTTCAAGCCAAATTGTGCGTGGGCAAGGACGAGCAGAGTCCTTCGTAAAAAGTTATATATAAAAGGATATAATACAAGAACACACCCCAGGACCAATATAATTTATTTTTCTCATTTGGGCTCTTGTCAAAGTCAAAGTTTTGTGGTAATCTTAGACGCGTGCGTCGCCCCAAGAAAAATATATATTTGTGTGTGTATTAGATGTGGGCTTATCAGACATCTTGTACCCTCTCTCTCTCTCTCTGCTGTTTACTATGAAGGACCCTAGACACAAAAGTCGACAGGACTTGAGATTCCCTTTTGTTTTTATCGTCAGTCAATATCGATTTTGTCACCATATGCGGGCGAAAATGATCTGATAAAATTCAGATACATTTAGTATAAGGGTTGTTTTTGTTGATGTTTAGCTAAGAAAACATTTTACTTTAAAATTAAAGTGCTCTTTATATTTATTTTTAATTTGTACTGAAATCTTTGTTTATTTATTCAGAAACAATTAAAAAACCAAAACACCAACAATTGATGAATTTTCCACCATTATCTTCTGTGGCTGTGTGTTAATGCATTTGTTTATTTGATGAAGCAAAAACGCAATAAAATGTATCTTTAACAAATTTTTAACCCACTGAAGGCGTTGCCCCCTCTTCTCTCTCTCTCTCTCAGCTTGTCTGTTGTTTTTTGTTTGCAAATTAATTTTTCAAATATACATTTTTTGGCTAATTAAGCAGAAAACCAGTGGATACACCCACAACGTTGCCAATAATTTATTGCCTCGTATTGATACAGTTTTGATTATCTCTTTTATGGCTACCCCCCCATCGAACTGTCGATGATGATTTCATTTTAATTGAATATTTCAATATCTTCTGACTGTGTTTTTGAGTGTCATGACATGTCAGTCCAATGGGGGGTTCGGTTTATGGTTGGGTTTTCCGGGAATGTGCGACCTTGGCATGTGTCTATATCGGGGAATGATGGAAATTCCTTCTGTTTGTTTGGAAAATGTCTGCGGGACATGAAATACCATGGTGATGGAAACGAAAACTTCACAGTTCTTAATGGAAAAATCAAATTAATTAAATTAAATATGTATATATTTATTACATAAATATTGCAACCTGCTTTAGGAAGCAAAAAACAACAATCACAACTTTAGCCTTCAAGCAGCAGAAAAACTGTTTTCTTCAGATAATTAACGCGTTGACAACAAATAAAAAAAATATATTAAAAAACAACCACAATAATAACAACAACAACAGCAAAAGACTGAAGACAATAAAAAAAGACAAGCCGAGAAGACGCGACGAGAAAGGAAAGAGCCGGAGATAGCTTCGTCAAGTGAAAGAGACAGAAACTTGAAGAAAGTGCAATCAACACATTTTTTCTTTTGTTGCTTTTATTATTGTTTTATCATCAACTGCAGCAGCAGCAAAAGAAACAACAACAACAACAACAACAACAGAAACAATAACACATAAAGCTTATCAAGGGAGGAAAAGCAACAAA